AATCAACGTTCATCCGGCTAAAAAATTCGATTTTGGCGAAAGTCGACTTTCCCCCTGGAAAAACGAAAAATCTGATCCTTTGAAAATCGGAAAAAAATTTTTTTGCAGTTTTCACTTTTTCTACATACTTTTGAGAGTTCTGAATAGCCCGTCGCTTCAATAGTTAGAATCAACGTTTACCCGGCTAAAAAATTCGATTTTGGCGAAAGTCGATTTTCCCCCTGGAAAAATCCAAGATCTGACACTTTGGCCCCCGGTGAAAATTTTTTTTTTTCAGTTTTCACTTTTTCCACATACTTTTGAGAGTTCTAAATAGCCCGTCCCTTAAATAGCTGGAATCAACGTTCACCCGGCTAAAAAATTCGATTTTGGCGAAAATCCACTAGCCCCGGAAAACCCGAAATTCTGACCCTTTGGCTGGGGCCAAAAAAAACGGTTTCTCAGTTTTCACTTTTTCCACATACTTTTGACAGTTCTGACTAGCCCGGCGCTTAAATAGTTGGAATCAACGTTCACCCGGCTAAAAAATTCGATTTTGGCGAAAATCCACTTGCCCCGGAAAACCCGAAAATCTGACCCTTTGGCTGGGGCCAAAAAAAACGGTTTCTCAGTTTACACTTTTTCCACATACTTTTGAGAGTTCTGAATAGCCCGGCGCTTAAATAGTTAGAATCAACGTTCATCCGGCTAAAAAATTCGATTTTGGCGAAAGTCGACTTTCCCCCTAGAAAAACGGAAAATCTGACCCTTTGAAAATCTGGAAAAAAAACGAAAATCTGACCCTTTGGCTCTGGGTGAAAAAAAAATTTTATTTCGACATTTTTCGCGCCTCCGCGGATTTTATTGGCATCAGAGTCGTTAGAAAATACCGAATCCACCTTCACTTGGCGAAAAAATGAAATTTTGGCGAAAGTTGACTTGACCCACGTGAAAATGAAAATTTTTTTTTCGTCTTTTCTGTCACCTCCGGGGGTTTCATTGGTATCAGGGGGTTAATAAATACAGAATCAACGTTCACTATTTTTTATTTAAACATCGCCTGCAAACGGGGAGATGAGGGTGGCTAAAATTAATTCTGCAACCCTCTCTCCGCGTGGGCTACAAATTTCAACCCTCCGCATACATGCCTTCCCCTCCACCCCCTCGTGAAATCCCGTGGTCTCGGTAGCATAGAGGAGGACTTCTCAGGGCCGAAAAGAACTGAGGATTCGAAAGGTCTCCGGAAAAGTACGTCGCAGAACTGATTATTACTTACCAGATCAATATAGGTCTGGAGAGATCTTGAAAGACCTGTGTACGTCCAATCAGAACCAAATCCTCGACTCGGGGCATACATTAGGGCAAATGGAAAATTTTTGTTGCATGTAAGATACATTTTTTTTGTCCCATTTCTCTTTCCTGTCGTGCAAATTGTGATATCAATATTGCAAATTTGAAGGGACCAAATTGAAGGGACCAGTGAAATATATTATCCATAACATGGATAATATAGACCACACAAGATGGTTTCTCCATTAAATTTAGCATATACACGAGTCTCACGGACACCCATTTCGTAATACTATATTCAATTTTAGTATCGAATATTAAACAGTGATTTTCGTATGTGAAATGTATTTACAGGGTTCATATTTTTTTGTATCATTTGTGTTCAGCAACTTTTATCGTATCCCTCGATCAATTCTCGTGTCTTGTTAACCCTTTCTACTTCCGTTATTTTTTATGATTTTTTTTTCTTCCTTCCGCCACCGCCGCCACCACCCCTAATTTTTTGATTGAACAGTCCATGATTTATACTAATGGGAGGAAAAGAGGATTCATCTGGCCGCTTTCATTTATTTAATTAGTAGATGATAGTATCCACATATTACTGACGGTTTCATTTTGCAATTTCATAGCATTGCATAATTATTTAAAAGAGAAGGAAAAAACGAAACGAAAAAAATACTAAAATCGCATCAGAGTGTTGTAGAAACATATTATTCAAAAATTACAGCGTGAAATAGTCAAAATTCTCTTTAACCTTGACTATGCCCGCTTCCCACTCCCCAAATAATTCTCAATGTGGTAGCGAGACTGGATAATTCGATGATCGAGTTCCGAGAAAATTCGTCGAAGCCTCTCGTGATTCCGCTCTTCCTTTTTTCATCATTATTTCGTGCGCTAAAAAGTACCCCGAGGCCACTACCACCACTACCGCCACCACTACAAAAATCTTATCGATTCATCCTCAATCATAATTTAACTTAAACTACATACACAAATTTAATTCTTTCGATTTGAAGTATTCTCAAAAATGCCAAAAATTTCTCCAATCGAGTCGACTCTGGAACCATTAATTTCGCGATTCGACATACTCATCACCTCACTTTCGAAAACTTCGTCTACCTAAATTTCCGACCAATGATTGTATAATGACGCAAAGTTGGCTAGCGATTGATCGACCATCAATCACTGAACATGTCAATAAATACACCGACGAAGCTCTCAGGGGTAGGTCTACCTCGCTCTTCACCATTGCACTCATAAATTATTGCCTAGTTGCCCACAAAAATTCCCTCATGGAAAAACGTGTTATTTGCCACCGAGCTCCACCAAATGAGTTCACTTTGTATTTAATTACTCGTCTCACGCCCACCCGAGAGTCCAGAGATCGCTCGACCGCCCTCGAAGAACAGATCACTCTCCGTTACACTCCTCTTTTTTTCCCTCTCATTCGCAAAGAGTCGTCTTCCCAACTTTCTTTCGTTGGGATTCTCCCGATCCCAACGTTTCCCTAATATCCTTGATGTGCTTTTGAAAAACTCCTACGAAGCATTTGGATAAAAATCGACTCACCTAATTACTAGGTTTCACCCCAAGCCGAACAAGATCTTGATAGATGAAAGTAATTCGTTATTATCATTTTGGCTTGGATGTTGGACAACATGAGATGGGCTGTTGGTCCATTGAAATCGAAAGTGGGTTGGAACTATTTTGAAAGGGGATTGATTCATACCTCTACGGCTGGCTTAAACGGGTGGCATTAAATCAAATTTTTCCTATTTTTTGGGGATTCCCATCTTGTTTCCTTTTACTTTTCCGTTTTGTCAGAGTTTTTTTTTTTTTTTTTTTCTCAAGTGTGAAATGGACTTTGGATTTTTTTTTAATTTTCCGCTTTAGTGGGATGAGATATGTCTGAAGTTTAATTAAAGCGTTATCCATCACGGAATGGTGTCCAGTTGAAAAAGAAACCAGAAAGAAAATACGAGGGATGAAATAAAGAGAGTTTGGAATCCCTCCAGCGCGTTGGAATTTAAGTACATGCACGGATTATTACTGGGTGCTGCTACTTAGAGTGGACATTTTTCGGTGTTGCCAGTCCTCTGATGGCGAAATACAAGATGCTAAGGTGCACTCAAAAATGACAGAGGTGGAGGTTCGAGAGAGGAAGATGGAAAAATTGGGCAGAGATCGGGTTACCAAGTTTCTGGGGTGAAGACCACCTAAGCGCTTCACCGCAAAACTTTATCCTACCTGTTTTCGCTAATTGAGCGAGGAAAGATGTAACTGGACCTTACGCCCCTCAGGTATTTGCACCCTTTTTATTTTCTTTGAGGGAAAAAGAGGAGAAACATATTAAGTGATAGCATCTTGCTTTTCTCTCCTCTGGATGGCCAATCTCTTTTTCCTCTTGGACGATCGATCACTATTCATTGGAAAAGTTTTGAAACGTGTGAAACGTTGCTGTTTCTTAGCAATGGTGTTGTTCTTTCAATTGCGCCCAAATATTTATATTATCATTCCCATTTTGGCCATTTATCTTCCAATGGTCATATTTTCCAAAATTCACTTGGATCTTCTCTATACGTGCGTTCAATCTCACCGAATCATTTACAAGTTTCTCGGAATCATTAAGTTGGAAGGATACGCGTGCCGGTATGGAAAAAAAGTTGAAAAATAGATATGTATATAAAAAAGAAAAGCACGGCTCTGCTCGTCCAAAATACGGACAGGCTACTGATTTTTCTTGCCGCCTTGGGATGACTCGACGTGTCGAACAATGGCGATAATGAGGGAAGAACTAGTGAGAAAGAAAGAAGAGAAATAACAGAGAGATAGCGGAACGCAATAGACCTGGACCTGGAGAAATGAACAAGAATAGGAGGATTTGCGGTTTGTCCTGGGACCTCTGACAATGTGAATTTCTAAATGCTGGACACATTAAATTATTCCCCATAGAATCGAGTCCCTAATTTCGTAGTTTCGTAGTTATAAACACTAAATGAAGAATGACAGGCTTTTGGTGATTTTTTAAACGATTCTCTATTTCGTCAATCCTATATTTTACAGCACGATATAACCATTTCCGAATGAACCAGTGAATTGAACATTGTCTGTCATTCGATTAAAATTATCATTGTTTGATGCTCTTACATTGATGAAAAAAAAAATGCTTCCTATTATTCTCATTATTTTTCAACTTTTATTAATAATTTTCTTTTTTTTAATTTCTAAATTTCAATTATGAAATGAAACGGATAGTCTCCATTTTAAAAAGGATGGTTTTCGATCAATTTGGTCATTTCTCTGAGATATAATTGATTTGCAATTGCTCGCCGGTAGAACATGAGAGTATGACACACACCGCACGGACATACATACAGGTAGAGGCGCCGTACCGTGTTCTCTGCCACCTGTTAGAGATCCTCACTTGGGCGGCCCCACCAAAACCAGTGGGGGAACAACTCTCAAACCTCATTGGTAGTTCGGCACGTGCTGCTCGAGGGTGCCTCGCTCCCCGAGAGCATAAATCCCCGGTCTGTGGTCTTCCCATCTCAGAACCACCTCGAGTTTTAAGCGAGCGTTTTATCCCTGTGAATAGCAAAACAGCCTTTTTAGAATCAACTTGAAATTTCACTTTTCAAAGCAATAGAAAATAAAAAATAAAAAATTGTGTAAGACAATTTACACAAAAAAAAGTGTTTGTGAAGTTGAAATCTATCAAGTGTGCGCAAGATATGGAGTTCCAGGAAATGTTCCGTTACGGTTACATGTTCCCACCCCAAGAAAATGAACACGTTACGTCGACATATATGGAGCTGCCAGAGTACACATATCTCAAAGAGAAGAGTGTCCTGCTACCACCGGTTTCTTCGGTCTTGACCGTTCAACCCCACATGATGTATGACAACAACAGTGACGGCTGGAATACTCCAAGTCCTCCGGCGAGTCTTCGCTCAGTCTCACCCTCCACCACATTATCTGTATCATCGTCAGACCTAGATCGATCTGCTTCTCTTCACAAAGAGACACTCCAGCCGGAATCAAAACGACGCAGAGATCGGCGCAATTCCGGGGAGGTCACCCAGAGAAATATTGTTCAGGTGCACGTGCAAGTGACCGGTGTGGATGACGATGAGGAGGACAATACTGGGGAGGAACTCTCTAAACTGTCATCTAGGAGGAGTGTCGTCAGCACCTCTAGTTCCTTCGAAGATAGAATGGAAATGGACCTGGAAAGCGATGGAGCCAGTGAAGTCGACGAATCGTCAGGGCGAATAAGGCGTGGTAAATACGTGAGTTCAATTGTCGTCAGAAAGCGGAGGTTAGCCGCCAATGCCCGGGAACGTAGACGGATGCAAAATCTCAACAAGGCATTCGATAGGCTGAGAGCTTATCTACCTTCTCTCGGCAATGACAGACAGTTATCCAAGTACGAGACTCTTCAGATGGCACAATCTTATATCACTGCACTCTACGATCTACTCCAGTGATCTTGCCATTTTTTTCCAAGTTGTCGGGTCGGTAAAATGTGTATTATAAAATTGTTATGTTTATTGGAGATTTTTTTTAAAGCTGCAGAGAGAAATTTAAATAAAATCAAGACTCACGAGTTTGCATGAGAGGCCAAGAGAAATAATTTTTTTTACATAAAATTGGGAAAAACAAGTCTTATTCTTTTGAAAAGAAGAAAATCAAACCAACACCAGTTTCTCGCTGTAGGAGTTTGTAAATTTTTGTATCATAAAATATTAGATTAAATGATAAATTTTGTGTATAGAAAAAAATGCATAAGCAAAATTATTGACATTTCAAATAGCACAAATGGAACAATGTATTTAAAACTTCAAGTTTAGGATTTTTTTTTTTCAAAACAATTCCTTCTCAATTTATTTCATATACATAATATCTATGTAAAATATTTATAGTACTATTGTCGGTGCGTAAGTACTTGAGACTGAGATGCAGGCGATATTTTTCGAGAGAGTGAATAAACTTGAATGAAATTTATATAAATTTGTGTGTTTAATTGTTTATTTTTTCTCTATGGAAATCCTTTTTATTCATTTATTTATTTTAATTGTATATTAAATGATTCTACGTTTTTGACGGAGGTTACAATGAAAATGTTCGCTATCGTCATCGGTGGTCCCACATCGTCATTCGAGATGCAGCCCATCGAACTCTTCGTCCTGGTGCTCGGTTTCATCGCAATTTGAGATGGCCTATTCCCCTTCCTCCACTATTTTAGGGGGTCTAGGTATAGGGACGGGTGTACACTCAATTTTTCGTATTGAATTCCCGAAATTTACCTCATGTGTACTTCATTGATGATTGATACATTTAAAGAACGATAGTATTAGATGGAAATAAAATAATAACTNAAAAAAAAAAAAAAAAAAAAAAAAAAAAAAAAAAAAAAAAAAAAAAAAAAAAAAAAAAAAAAAAAAAAAAAAAAAAAAAAAAAAAAAAAAAAAAAAAAAAAAAAAAAAAAAAAAAAAAAAAAAAAAAAAAAAAAAACTTTACTAGCACTTATTTAGAAGCAGTATCTTCCATAAAAATCCAAATAAATAATCTCATCATGAAAGAAGAAAAAAACAATTTTTCAAACCGAAGGACCACCTTGCAAGCCTCCCCTTGTTCATCAGCAAGGCGCAACTCGGAGAAAGAAAATTCAAAGAAAAAACCAGAAGAGACTCATTATCCTTAGAGTTACGAGTCCAAAGCGGCAACGGGTTGTTGTTAAACTCGAAACGATTTTGAGCTCCTCAGGATCTATCTATGCGCGCGACTTGGTTTAATGCGCGGGATTCACAGCGGAGAAGTGAGAGACTGGCTCATCGTAGCGCATCGAAGTGGCCATATAACCTCCTATGAAAGAGCGTTTAAAGCCCACCTGAGAGACCCACAGGAGGCTGTCTTTACCGGTGTAGATCACTTATGAGTGATGTACATGTCCTGTTGATGCTGCCTTGATGCCGGTGCGAACACTTAAAAACTATATTTTTCAAATTAAAAATATATTTTTCTTCAATCGAGAATCGTTGAATCATCAATTCAATTACTTAATGAAGAAGAATATTATACCTATTTAAATTTTAATGGTAAGACATGATGGACTGAAAAAAAATGGCACAAAAAAGTGGACGCTCAGAAGACTAGTGATTCTCTCTATTGCCAACAATTTGTGTTTTCTACCATTTCTTTGTCCCACACGGTATAATGGTATATGAAGAAATGAACAAATGACTTTTCATGGATACATGCTTTCTGAATAACGGGTGTTATTAACCCTCACAACTACTACTTATCGAGCGAGTCAATAGTAATGTGTGGAGATGAACGCGTGCAACATTTTTTTCGAGAATAATGAAAACTAGATCATGGGAATCACGTACGCTCAAACGCCTCGGAAATTAGGTGGCCCAAGGATATTAAGTTCCTGCTGGGATGGCTTTTGAGTATTTCATACGAGCGGCAAAAAATAAAGGACGGAGAAAGAAGAGATCCTTTCAGATGTATTGAAAGAAGGCGCAGGGTAGGAATAAAAGGGCCTGAAGCCACGTGAGGTGAAACTATGGAGTGGTGCAATGAACCGACAACAACCCCCGTCGACAAGCCAGCCCCTGTGCCCCACTATATTATTCCAGCATGCGTGAGACTTACAGCCCTCACAATGCACTTTTTCTTTCGTCTTTTTTTTTTTTTTTTTTTTTTTTTTTTTTTTTTTTTTTTTTTTTTTTTTTTTTTTTTTTTTTTTTTTTTTTTTTTTTTTTTTTTTTTTTTTTTTTTTTTTTTTTTTTTTTTTTTTTTCGTCGCTCCGGCACTTGTGTATACATGGTGTGCTCTACGTGTGTGTTCCAGAACTGAACGACTCTCACGTTCACAATGGGATATTAAACTATACGATTAACTGATTTTGACTACCCCCAACTGATATAGGAAAGCGTTTAGGTTTTTGTGTCATGATCGTACTTTCTTGGCTCTTGAAATTAACTCATTTTCAATTTTCCTATTCTCTTTTCTTTTTTCTTTTTTTTTTTTCAATTTTTTTTGGTGTTGAAGAAAGAGCAATCATGTCATGGGGATCGATTAAATTGTTCAGGAGGAAATGGTGAATAGATCAAATTGATTGACATGTTTATTTCGTTTTAACAAATGAACATAATATTTTGTCTTCATCACTTAAAAATTCAATGAGTATCTGCTGATTATCGTGAAATTGAGACTGACACATATTGTATACAATTTGAAATGTCTAAAAGGAATAACATACATACAGCATCACACCGGTAGTGCAACTTGAAAAGGTAATGGTGCGTCCGAGAGATAATCATGAAGACGCTATTATGGTTTTAAAGCGCCTACCCACGGTGAAGATTTACGTCGCCGAGAACGCACAGACCGTAAATTAACTCCGGTACGTAATTTCTAGTGCTAGCAGTTCATACTGCGAAACAAAAAACGGTGTATGGAGCCACCCGAAGCTGCATCTCGATTACGTACATGCTATGCACCCGCCGAGAGAGGGCTGAGCTGAATGTATTTTTCATCTATTGCGCATGTAATTCGGCGGTCATCGCGTATTCGATCGAAAATCCTTTTGTTTGATCATCAGGAGACGAGTTCTGTCATGCCCATGAAATTTATGAGCGCCTCCTGCTTGTTTCTAAAGCAGTCTCTTTCCCCATACAAATGGCAACAAAACGAGTTATACCGAAAGCCGGAAGTTTGCATACAATGAGGTTTATGAAATGTGGTAGAAAAGTATAAACGCGTAATAATTGTGAAAAATTTTAAGATGCGAAAAAAAAACACTCGTGTTACTTTATTTTATCATTTTCAAGCAGCCTCGATGCCTTTTACCTGCTAAAACTTGTAGTTTTCTAATAATATACGGTAAGAATGATTCTAGGGTAGTAGAGTAAGTGTATATGTTTGGTGAGAAGGTTGATGCTTATACATCAGAAACGGGGTGAATATCTCCATGAATTGTAATTGCTGCTGGGAGGGGGAGGGGGCAATGGTGTGCTTTATCTGACACATATGTGTGAGTGAGTGAGTGAGTGAGAAGGAATATATACATTATAGGATTACATATCATGATATTTTCAATGGTTGTCTTCGTTAAAACGGAAATTAAATTTTCCTGCCTGACAGACAAACACCTAAAACACCCGAGAAACATTTCACAATAGAATCTCTTCTTAAATTAAACTCTCAACCCTTAACCCCATGAAATTGGTCACCGAATGGGTCACTGGTTTTGTGGCACCGATCGTCCAAATACCTCGAGTTCCCCGATAAAAATCTAAACTGTGCATCACCAAATGGACTCTATAACTTTTTCCAAAATAGCGTACAGGTGCACTTTCACAGGACAAATTGTCAACGACTGATTGTATTTATCGTGCTTGATCGCCAAATCGAGATTACATTATTCCCATGCCCCAATAGCCCACGGGCACACGCGCATGCCAAGTCCCGGGCAACTCTCTTCTTCTTCTTAGTCTTCTTCTTTTTCTTTTTCCAAATGTAGCAGAGGGAGTTTAATGTATTTTTAAATAAAGCAATCGCTCGATCAAGACAAGAACAAGAGGAACGGTAGCCGCCTCTTTGCGGCTACGCTTTGTTCTCGAGCTCAACATATTGCCCACCATTTTTTATTTTCTTCTCTTTTCCATAGGTGCAGAAGTCGAAGGATCAGGACAACACGAGAATTATAATTTTGCTGGGCTGGATATTTACGTTCCTAAGGTAGCGGTATTCCTCAGTAAGTGACTACAGAGTTTATTAGATCGTCGTTTATCACATTCCCTTCTCACCTAAATCCAGTGGAATCTTGACAATTCGAACCACAATTGGAATCCTCGCAATTATTCGCCACTATAATAATTTTAGAACCCCCTGAAAACCATCTTTCTCTCTCTCTCTCTCTTTCTCTCCTAGAAACCTGGTATTAACACCACTACTCCCCACGGTGATCCATCATATTTTCCCCTCAAGAGCAAGTTTTTACTTCGTTGATTAGAATTATTAAAATTGCGCAAGATTTACACCTTGAAAACACCATAAATTTTGGCATTTACGTAACATATATTGTCTGACTACCGTAAATGTCACGTAGTATAGGAAAAACTGAAAGGATTCACACGGGGTGGTCTGACGGGAAGTCCATTGATGCCTTTCCCCCTTCTCTCCTTTTCAGTTTAAAAAAAAAAACCACTCGGAAGAGAGGTCTTCCTATCCATACTTCCGTGCTTGCAACACCAGAGTATCATCCCCTTTCAAAACATACACGCATAATAGTGCAACCCAAAAATGTCCATAGAAGTTAATAGTCTACTTTATACCACTGACGTATGCGTGAGCTGTTGCAAATGCTACTGGATTATATGGGCGACCGGCGTGCGGTTAGATTTGAGACAAACCGATTTAGCTCCATATTATAACCAGTCCCAGGTATAAAAAAAAAGAAAATCAAAATCCTAGAGACGCCCTCCTGATCCCTCGAGGGTCTTCTTCGCCCGCTACATAGTTGACCATTGTGTGGAAAAAAAAAAAATCATATAATAAAAGGATTATTCGTGAACCTTTTGTTAATTCGCCCCAGATTACTGCAACTCATGAAATTCTAATTTCAGTCAAGGTCACGTTTACATTTTTTTTTCTCATGGAGAAAATAGACGAACTCAAATTCCCCCTGGCACTGGCACGCGTTTAAAAAACCCAAGAGACACAGGCAAATGAAAAAAATCTTTCCCCTTCTCATTATTTCCATTTAGCCATGCAACAGCACCAAACACTTGAAGTCGCACTCGTCCGCAATTTAATGCATGCCCGATTCTTCAATTGTTTTCATTCACATATTTGTGTGTCTCTCGTTTTGAAATCCACTCAAGCGATTTTAAAGGGAATAGATGCAAGCAAGGAAAGCAGGCAATTAACCGCTTTGCTTTGAGTTAACATACATTTATTCCCATGTCAATGAGTTTTATAAATATACAAACGTTTAAGCAGATAAAGTACTAGACATAAATCAATGAAAATAGGTACAATAGTTGTATTTTTAATCATCTCAAATTATTTACTCTTGCGCACAAGATTAGATGTCATTTTGTCGTTGTCATCGTGATGATATTGAGACGGTGATGGTGTGTTTGCAATATCTACAAATAAACTTTGTCTACAGAGCATCGATACTGTACTCATACTCGCCAATTCTTTATCCTTGGATCGCTTTAATTTAGCCCGTCTGAATTTATTGGCTAGCTGATGGAATCGTGACTCTTTAGCACATTTTTCAACCTGTTGACGAAGGTGATCGGAGGATCTTGGTAAGGAGTCACAGTTTCTACTTAATATCAATGAATCAGTTGTTTGGAGTCTTTCGAAGGCATCTGAATCGATATTAATCATTCCAACACTTGCAGACTTGACTAGGTCAGTCCTGGAGAGTGTTTCAATTGGATGAAAACTTGTTTTACCATTTTCTTCCGCATCAATGGCCGGCGGAGGGCTATTTTTATTGTCATGATTCTTATTTTTTTGTATATTCACATCTCGAGAGAGAAATTCCTCTTTAGCTTGTTGAATCATGAGGGCTCTCAAAGATGTTGGTGTCTCTTTTAATTTGCAGAATCCGGTCTGCTGGGGTATCTGGGGAGCAGTTTCACTCCTGACGACTGCATTGAGTAAATTAACAGGTTCGTCTGTCCACCGAGCTTTGGTAAAATCAGTAGTTGAACTTTTTGAAATGGCGAAAACATTGGGCTGATACATGGGTCCCGCAATGGCCTTTCTCACTTCCTCCTGGTATTTTTCCATTCGAGTTGTTATTCTCCGTTCGCTGACAGGAGATCGCCAGATTGGCGAACCACTTCCGCTACTCGTAGCTGAACCCGGCCCCACTGTACAACATCCTGAAGCTTCAAGTTTTTCGTTATACTTCTTTATCATCATTCTGATACTGGGAGCTGTCTCCTTAGCTGAGCAGACTACCGTCTGTCTATATTCTTTTCTAGTAGGAATTGGCGATGGGGGGGCATGAAATTTTTTCATCTCTGTACTAGGTTCCAGGATAATTGGAGTATCTGGTGCAGATTCTGTTTCAGAAGTGTCTGAATAAACACATGATGAGGATTTCGATGTTCTTCTAAATGGTGAAAATACTATTCTCTTCGTTTTTATAAACATACTCGTCGGATCTCTTTTCTCTTTTTTACTTTCCAAATCGTCGTCATCTTCGCTTTTTAACTTCAATCTCACCGATGATACTTGATCATCCGCCATTGAAATTGTTCCAGAATTCGTTGGAACTACTATTTTGTTTAATGTATTTTCATTGATAATGATTTTCTCCCGGTGAGATGCTTGAAGAAAATCATCAATTTGTTCTGGTGATGATTCTTTTCTCCCAGTTAAAGTTGATTGTGATTTAGTTACCTCAATTGGTTCATTGGAAGAGCTATGATGTAGTTGGTATCCAATCTGGGTATCGGTTAGTCGTCTCGTCTTCAGGTACTTTCTCGAGTGTCTTGAGTTACTGGCAACAGTAATTACCACTTCCGTTACGACGTCCCCAGCCTCACCATCCTCACCATTCTTGGTGGTTCGATTACGGTTCCTAGTTAACAATTCTGCCTCCTTGGTGCTTTCTAGGACAAAAAATCCATTTATCATTGCTTCTTCGGCAAGGTAGCAAGAGATTTTATATCCTATATATATTTTTAAAAAAAAGATGATTCTCTCACCAGAATCATGTACTGCCATCTTGCGAGCGTTGGCATGAGATATGAGAGAGCCGTTTTCCCGCCGGCATGAGGTATCAACCGACGAAACTCTTCTACCAATCCATCTGTTGGCAATTTCCCACTCATTTCCCTCATCATCTTCTGAAACGACAAAATGCAAATTCTACTTTTCATTTTACCACAATATCTTTGACAATTTCTCATACACAAGGTTCCGTACCAGTGGAACCATTTCTTTCATCTCTCTCAGCACCTTCTCCATACCTGGGCGTCACTTCAGATATTCTAATTACTCCCACATGTACTTCATCATCAGCTGCTTCCTCGATAATGCATGCCTGCGCAGCAATTGGTCGGACCTCATCGCCGGGTTGAATGAGAATGACAGGAGAGGGTTCGTGGCTTGATGTAACAGTCCCAAGGGGAATTGCTATACTGGTTGTTTCACTTCCAGCTACGCTGTAGACTGGTGTTTGATGTGGTTGATACTTTGCCATTGGACATGCCGTTTCCTCTACAACGTCTTCAATGTCGATAATCATAGCTTCTGGTTCTAGCTCTGGGTCCAATTCCGAGTCTTCAAGGCCAATGTCCTCTGATGTGTCTTCTTCATCTGGGATCGTTGGAACAGAACCTACTATACAACTTCTTGTATCTAAATTGTCAATGTCATTCAACGAGAGACTCGATGAGGGTGCTCGTGCTCGTGCAGGAGATTTTCTTTCACTAGTGCTGAAACTATCCACATGGATACTTCCCAATGACTTTGATCGACTCAGACCGCGACTCCCTGAAGGTTTTCGTTCAGCTTTCAAAAAAAAAAAAAAGTATATATATATATATATATATAAATGGAAGGAGCTGAATGAAATTTAATAATAATATCGTGAATAATATTCAAATACTCACCGACAACATCTGTCTGCATCATCAATCTAGGTCTCGAGCATATGCCATATCTCAGAGGATCAAGAAGCCTGAATGTCGAGCATTCCGGAGCAATTCCCTGGCTCTTTTCCCACTCGTACAATTTTCTTGTAAATTGACGAGATATTCCTTCAAATCGATATAATCCAGTTGACGTATGAATCAGTACTTCTTGGGTTTTCTCTGGTGGTGAGCCAACTACTCGATGCAACTTGGATAATCTTGAAGCATTTTTTCTATTTAAACTGTCACCATTAATTGCTTGATTTTTCTAAAATCTAATATATTACCTTGTTTGTTGATCTCTCTCCATGTTGTTGATAATTTTTCCAAGTGATTTAAACTCCTCGTCCTCCAAACCCTTCCATGATTTGAATCTCTCCGAAAATTTAGTGCGATTCATTAATTCATTGACACGTGCAGCCTCCTGCTCTTCTTCGTCATCCTCTTCCTCCTCCTCCTCCTGCTCCTCCTCCTCATCCTCCTCCTCCTCCTCCTCCTCCTCCTCCTCCTCATCCTCCTTCGCCTCAGACTTTATCCTCGTCCATCCCTCCATTTTTTTGACAAAATCATCAGAGAGTTTTCCTGGAGACTCTGGCTTGGTCTCTGCCATTTTTGAAGGGGATCTCCACAACTGCCAATCCGTCAATCTCCTCTTGCTGAAGGCACGAGGCTCAGGAGAGATGCCACCTTTGTTCATTCTCTTCCATTCCTCCAACTTTTTTTTAAACTCTGGTGTCAATTTATCCTGGCTGAGCAGCCGAAGATTATCCATGTCTTTCTCACGGACTAATCGTGATGACTCTTTAACATTTGATAATTTCACCTTGTCCCACTCTGCCAGTTTTCGATAAAACTCGGCACCTATTTTGTCATGAAGAAGTCGATAATTTCTCTGAATCTCTGCTTGCACCGCCGGATTGGAGGATGCCTCATTGTCCAAGTCTTCAGTACTTGCACTAGCACTGTAACTTGCCGCTGTTGCATCGCCATCTGAAAATATGTATTCTCAATTTTTATTCGAAACAAATCGACATTCAATTTGTTCAACTTTTGATATGCATCTTGCTAAATTTAGCCAAAAAATCTTGAGTAAAATTCCTACAATTTTTTTCCCCAAAAAAATTCAAACGATGACGTCGTTACTAACTCTCTGTACGAATGATTTCAAGTCATGTATTAAGAGAGAAAAAATTAAGCTAGTTCCCAAAAGTCGTTGTGCTAGAATGAGAGAAGCTATTGAAAAATGTCGGAAACCATTGCCTACCCAAACCTGTCCGTCAAAAGATGATCCATCAGATAATTCATCCACTCCCAAGGTATTAATCATTAGCCATTAGAAAAATCAATATCATCAATTTTCTTTTTTTTTACAAAAAAGCATTCCAAAAAATTTAGACTGAGAACGCATCAGACGTATACCTCAGATCACAGAAAGCATTTAGACTGCGAGCATCGCAACTCATGAAATTGCTGGAAACTTGTAAGAATTCTATTCTGAGTGATATGAGAAAACAATTACATGTTGCAAATCTTGAGGATATCGAGGACATGCGGAAAATTCTCTGCAGTATTGATAAGAAAATGAAAATTCTCATAGAACTGGACATCAAGTGCGCCCACACAAATAAGCTCAAACTCCTTAAATTGACTGACCAAGCCAGTCAAAGTATCAAAGTCTGCAATAAAAGGACAAAAATTGCCTTAAAGAATCTAGAAAATGAGCTGGAAGGCCTTGTAGATGAGACCTGTTGCAAAATAAATATTGTCATGGAAACAATTACCCATTGCAAAAATTGTCAATTGTCACCGGAGTGTTTGGAAGAATGTGTGAAATCAATGGGAGCCCAAGGGGTCAAATTATTTGATCAAGTTGATGAAGCTACGAAGAGACAAATTGAAAAATTAGAAAAGGCGAAAGATGATGCTATGAGTGAACGTAAACTGCTCTCTAAATACATTTCAAAGGAGTATCAGAAAGAGATGAACAATTTGTCTGATGAGCTGTCCGACTATATCAGACGTCTGGAGTTGAAATCGCCAGAGAAAAAATAATCGACTTATAATTCTGGAGAATTGGAGACTTACCATCAAAGAAATAAGATGAAATTCTGCTCGGGCTCGTGGGGACCGACGTAGCACTGGTAAGGAAGGCCCTTTTTACTTTATTCCACTTGGAGTTCCTCCTCTGCATTTTCGGAGAAGACCCTAGAGAATCTCCCTTCAACGGCTGGTGTTGCTTCACATCTGCTGGAACAGTTTGTGAGGTTTTAGATCGACCCAGTCCATACTTGAGGATTCCTCCAGAGCTCGATGATATGGGAGAAACCTGACCCGTTTTATCCCGTGAGATGTCACAACCTGGAGAAGATTTGTCTGACAAATGTCTTGGTGGCGGAGGTGTTATTGATTCAGGTGAAGATATGCTCCTCAGTTCTTCACTGGAGGGTACAGTTATAGTCAACATGGGCGTGAGTCTTCTTGAAGCAATATCTTTCAATTCTAACTGCTGGGCTTTAGATTTGGCAATGTTCATTGATGATCCTGATGGATCTGATGTGATCCGAACACGAGGAGCTCTCCCATCATGCTGGAAAAATGAACATTTAATTTTTTCCATAGAGTTTGATGATAAACAAGATTTGCAAGTTATGTTTTTTTGGTCATAGTCTGAAAATGTAAAAATGTGATTGAAAAAGAAAGAAAAGAAAAAAATATAACCGTTACATCTTCAATTTTGTAACAGGTGTACGCTCTGCATAAAAAGAAATATCAAGTGAATGAAAAAAAAGACTGCACACTCTGCGCTGCGTGCAACGATTGAGACGGGTCTCTAGGGGGATATCTTTTCGTTCTTGTATACATACTGAGATATTTTTAAATGCAAAAGTGGGCTAACACGTCGCTGCCGACGATTCAGACTTTAACTGAGGATGTCGACCTCTAATCTGCGCTGAGAAAAAAAAAATCTTACCCTTCGACATTTGTAGATAGCAACTTGTTTTGTATGGCCAAAAAAGGAAAGACGGAGGGTTAAAAAAGAAACTTGCAAAGTTTGCATTCATTGAGAATCACCTCGATTCTGTGTAAATCAGTCGAGTCTAAACTCGATGTTGAATGGTTGTCTTCATTTCGTGAATTTCTACTTGTTTGCCTTCCCAAACTTTCACGGCGAAGCTGCATCATGTCCTTCATTTTTCCCCACGGGGTTTTGGCCATCCGGCACTCAATTTTCACTGCATTTAAAGGATTCTGCGCAAATAGAATGAGAATAACAAGCCTGATCAAGTATTTTTCATGGCACAACCAACTTTTGCTTTTAAATTCTCAAAAATAATAAAAATAACCAAAATAGCTAGGAAAACAACAAATCACCTTGCCTCGCTGGCTGTAATTAAATATCATTGGAACTAGTGTTTCTCCATCCAACGAGCGACTTCTTCTTGATGGATCTGAATCGTCAATTTCTGCCCTCTGATGACTACTGTCATTGCGTGATCCTTCAAAGGAAGATAATCCATCCATATTAATAAGATCCATCGATAAAAGCCAGCCTTCCAATAAAATCCCTACTCTTAAAACTAACTACTTTTCATCTGATGAATACTTGGCACTACTTGTGAAAAGTTAGAGGCACTCACTGTGAAAGACATCATCAATGGACGACGACGAAGAAGATATGGTACCAGCTGGGGTGGAAGGCCCAGAGACTTGGCAAGTGCATCCAACATTATTTTCCGGTATATTCAATAATTTTGTAGGAGTTCCAATTTCAAAGGGAGGGACTGATGCTGTTTCTGCTGTGTTGCAGGCAGCTCTTTCCCACCTAAAAGCAGCCTTCACACGAGTCCACTTGGAGATTTTGGGCAATCCTATCACCAGAGGATAGGGTCTCTGTTTATGATTAGCACTCTTTGCAGCTGAGCAATTTCTCATGATGGCTCTTGCAGAGTTTCTTCTTGGCACTTCAACAGCCATTGGACAAGAAACTCTTCTCTGCTCCATGCTCACCGATAAAGAGCTGCCTCCTCTTCTTTTCGCTGAAGATGACGCTCGGTTAATATTGCAACTTCTCCGAGCAGGCACCTCAAAATTACTAGCCAACATGGCACCCAGCAGCGACTCTGCAAATCCAACGTCTTCGTCGGGCAGTGGGACATGTTGGCCAGTTGACAATGCTTTTTCCAAGTCACTGTTAACTTTCTTCAAAGCTTTTACCCGCTCTAGTTGGCGCACTTTGTTGAACATTTTTGAACTTGTGTTCCGCATCTCCACTATTTGCTCCACCAGGGTGTAGAGTTTGGACAGGTGATTAAAGGCATTATCGACATTGACAATTTCCGCCCCCGCCCCCACCGCCGCCGATGATGATGCTGAAACGCCTGGTGAAGGGGGATCTGGAGGGCTTGTTGTTGATGGCAGATCTTTCTCTAATCTTCCACCTTTCCGGCATGATTTTTTTCCCAAGAGAGATGATACTTGATCCAAATGGGCTTCCATACTATTTGTTTTGGTATTTATTGATGATTCATATGAATAAATACATTTTAAAAATGTTAAACAACTTACGCACTATTAATCATCAGAAAATAGGAAATAGCGTAAAGGAATGACACCATTAATATAGCCACTTACATGGCTTATGGATTTTGTTTAATTGATTTAATTTGAAAATTTCACTACCCTACACCCCCTATGTATGTGGTGACTGCCCAGTGGATACTGCCAAGAATCACCAAGAGACTGAGAGTTAAACGAGATGAGTGTTGAGTAGGATCTAGTGGGCATGCGCAATTATAAATGCTCTTCATCTACTCTCACACGCCGGTTAAAATAGACACGCGGAAGGCGCTCCTCCATTGCTTCTACGATTTTTTTTTTTTTTCACCTCTCTGGATTTTTTTGCACTTTTCTATGGGATCAAGACTTTTCAGGGAATTCAACGTTTTTTTTCCCAGCAATTAAAATTTATTGTATTAGCTCAAATTGAAATATATTACACATATGATTATTTAGCATTTCGAGCTAAAGAATGGTTTAAAGAATGAATAATAGCTCCTCCTTGATGATGGATAACAGCTTGCAGGCATCGATTTTACTGTTGCATTGGGGCGTTGGTCAAGTCTGGTATAAGCAAAGCTGGTATCACAGCCCCTGTGCGAAAATACAAAACTAAATCAATCTCAAGTATGTTAATTATAGTCTGATGGATACTATAAACATTTTCCATACAACAGTATACAGAGGCGTTTTGGTATGTAAACAGCAGTTTTTCCTCATTTTTCGGATATTTTTGGTGCCTCTTAGGCGTACGTTTGGCATGTGTTTAACACGTGTGCAAAACATCGACATGAGGGTATGATTTTTTTCAACAAGTGCTATTTTTTCACTGGTACCTATTAAAAGACTGGATACTATGTAGAGAGTATTTGGACATGGGATGTGGATAAGGAACTTTATGAAGAATGAGGCGAGGTGGGGCAGTACTCCGGTTAGACCTGTCATCGTTCCTCTACAATTCAAAACTCGTGACAAAATAATACAATGTAACAAAATAACAAAAATAGTCGCTTACCGCACACATGTTGGATAATTCTCGAGCAGTAAAATTGTTGTAATTGTATGCATAACAGAGTACGAGGCGAGAAAAGATATCGATAGGACAGTTGTGCTGTTGTGAGATAGAAAAATCATGGCGAGAATCGATGTTCCTCCAATGAGAGCCGAAGTAACTGAAATATGAAAATTACAATTCACTCAATTTTTCATCATCCACTGTTCATTTCAATGGAAATATTCGTAAAAAGGAATATTTCCAATTGTTGCAGTTGCACGGGAATCTCTCTCTGAAATTTTCCAGCCCCAGTAACAACTTTCACGAGTCAAGTATTTTTAGTACTTGAGTTTATAGCGCACAGGCACGATCAATCACTTTGCACTTCCGGTTGAAATACATCCATCACATTTCAATACAATTAAATTTCAGGAAGTTTATATTTACTCTATTTGTACGAATAAAAAATTCAACATTTCGAGAAAAATTTTGACTAAAATTGTCCAAATAAATTTGTTACTATTTGCCACTGATTGAAAAAGAAAAAAACTCAACATACTAATGGACAGTTTTCTTCCGATGACATCAGCTCCAAGCACCAATAGACATTCCCCTAAAGCATATCCCGATGATAAAATAATCGAGTACTCGAAGAATGAATAGTTGGCTACGTGACAATTATGAAGAAAGCTCATAACAATATCCCCGGTGTCAGTTACGCAATGTTTAGCCAATGTCAAGGTGGTATTTTCCCTGTTTTTGCCTACGTGGGTGAGATGGGTGCTCCACAGTGTCATCCAAATGAATCTAAATTATTTTTTGTGAGTCTTATAAACCGACACGTCACATTCTCTCGTATAAAATAATCCACAAATTTACCCCGGAAACAGCAGTAAACGAATTATAAGTAGTAGTAGGGTATTTCTCATAAATTTTGGTGAACAGATGAGGACAATTCGTTTCCAAGTCTTGGAAAAGTGACGTTTTATAATAACTAAAGTGCTATTAGTCTCTTCATCAGCGTCGTCATCCAGTTCGGCGGTCCCATCTCCATCTAGATTGCCGCACTGCTGTAGGTTTCAATAAAAATCATCAATTTTAATTGACAAAGGTCCAACAATTCAAAAAAACGTTACAAGAAAACGTACAGGAAAATTATCCGCATGTTTCGAGTAATTGATGGCAAATATCTGCTGGAGAACCGACAGCGCTTGGACTGGACGCCGTCGAGAAACTAGGTACCGCGCACTTGAGGGTAATAAACTCGTCGCACAAGCCATTATGAGACTCGGAGCTCCACCGATTCCTGCTAAGACTCTCCATGAACTCGGACGAAACTCATTCCCAAGCATTCGAATTATCGAGGGCACCAACCACCACGAAATTGCTTTGAAATTGCAATAGAAATCAATGCGGTTAAATCATAACATAACGATCGAGTAACAAGTTATCCTCGTCATCAATAATAACGATACTAAATATACAAGAAATTTTAATCAACATAAGCTCGCAGATAATATTGAAAGTCATTGAATTTGGAATAGTAATGGAGACTAAGACTAAATATAGGCATATAGCTATATCCTCCACATTTTCTAAATATAGGTTGTATACCAAGTGCCGAAATCATGCCAGCGATCCACATAAAATCCAGAAATGCGAGGCAAGTTCCTCGACGTTTAGCTGGAAGGCACTCGATCATGTAGACGCGAATCATGACATTGTTACCTGAAACGCTATAAAAAAAAAAACCATTCCAAGAATGCAGCAATATTTTAATTGAATATCACAGCAGATTTTACCCGACTCCAAGGATAAATATGCAGAAACCAATGAGGATATAACTCTGAGAGAATGACAAGCCAATGGAGGCGCAGAATATGACAATCATGGTCGTGGGAATTTGCAATTTACGGCCATTACTATCCCCTAGAGTTCCAAAGAGTAGTGCACCCAGAGCCATTCCTAAATATTATAATTAAATTTTTTTTTTTTTTCTAAAACTGAGCGTCGTTACTGCATTAATGTGTCTCATATTTTGTCTCATTGAATCTATCGTCTATTTTCATCAATACCGAGGGAGGAAACAGCGTTCAACGTCATGACATCCTGTTTGCTGTAGGCAAGATCACACGCGAGTAAAGGTGTTAGGATAATGACAATCAGAGAAGCACCAGCCTCTGCCACAGTGCACATTGAGCACAAACCAATGATGAAATAATTGCATAATCCCCATCCTGATAGAAATAATCAATTCGTCGAGAGTCAGTAATTTTTCGCTTATCAACTAAATAATAATAATAATAATAATAATAATAATGCAAATATAAAAATGCAATTGACGTTAATGCTGAATATCTCCACTTGAGATAACCCTGACAGACATGACAATTTTAATTTAAAAAAAAACAGAGTCATGGTCTATGCCAAACAAACTCGCCTGTTTTTGTAATGGCATTCTCGCAGACTTGGTTCATTCTTGTTGAATTTTTCGATGACTTTTTGTTGTAGAGAAATTACTATTTCAGTCACTCTCTTGCTGACTGGCAGTTCAGTCCGCGTTAACCTTCACATTATTGACAAAAAGTTGAAGAAATAAAAAAGCTTGCTTGAGAAATGAACAATGCTCACAGTATTTTATTACAATGCTTTATTATTTATTGATTTCTCTTCAAAAGAAATAATGCTCACGACTAGCGTGATGAATGATTCACGATCGCTCTTAAAACTAAATGGAATTAATCGATAGTTGATTGAAGAGAATATTTTATTATTCTCAGAGTGAAATGGACAAGTAGGTGAATGAAAAGAAAAAATATTATTTCCTCTTGTCGTTGAATGATGTTCAACATTCAGTTGTTTTGAAAGTATTCCTTGGATCCGGCTGGGTCGGGTTTCATGGTCTTCTTGCCTGGTTTCCAGCCGGCTGGGCAGACCTCGCCGTGCTTGTCAGTGTATTGGAATGCTTGAACAAGACGAAGGGCCTCATCAACTGAACTGTAAAAATTGACAAGAAAAAATAACAACATTTGAAATTAAATGAAATTAAACAATTTTATGAATAATAGAATATTTCTTTTCATATTATTTCTGCGTGAAAAAGACTTTTTTTGCTCATGTTTTTTCATTGAAAATAGTACATTTATTTTGAGATTACGTGGTGCAATGAAATTCTCACCGTCCAACTGGCAGATCATTGATGGTGATTTGTCTGAGATTCTGTTTATCATCGATAATGAAGAGTCCACGGAATGGAATACCAGTTTCTTCATCAAGAACACCATAAGCACGTGCAGTTTTCAAGCTCTTGTCAGCAAGAAGAGGAATGTCCATCTCTCCAAGACCCCCCTGTTTGCGTGGAGTATTCACCCATGCAAGATGAGAGAAGTGTGAATCACATGAGGCCGCAATTAGCTCACAGTTGATAGCACGAAATTCACCTGCACGGTCTGAGAATGCGATGATCTCAGTGGGGCAGACAAAAGTGCTGGAAATTTTAATGAATAATTATACAAACTATTTAAACTTAAAACTTGTACAACTATAATGAAAATAATTCTACTTACAAGTCGAGGGGATAGAAAAAGAGAATAACATATTTTCCTTTGTAATCAGTTAATGAGATGTCCTTGAACTGTCCTTTGACAACAGCAGTGCCTTTGAAAACTGGTGCTGGCTTCTGAAGTGCTAGTACAGACATCTAGAATATTACCATTGCAAATAAATTTAATGAAAGTATTTCATATTCCAGTTAGATAATTAAATAATAAAAATCAAATTATCAAAATCACTCGTTAGATAATAATCTAACCGGGATAATTCAATAATGCACTCCTCCGCTAATCATTTCTCTTAGCACATAGCAATTGCATCAGAATGTGAATCATAAATGAATTTTCATTGCTAAATATGCATTAAATAGCGGCAAGTGACACACGCTTCACTCACATTGACCGAGACCCTGATAATGACAATTAATCTCCTTCCTCGGCAATATAAATTCAATCAGTATAAATAAACATGCGCTGGTGCATTATATTATTGAACCAGTAATAATAAACCCCTGGCCATTATTTTCACGATTCATACTATACATAGCAAATGACTTTTCAACAGTATTTCTCTCCACTCACAAAACCAAATCTAAATTATTCATCGCGAAATGCTTCAATCAGCAAAAAATCCCATCTCTTCATTATTAAAACAAAGAAAGCAAATAATGGCAATAATTTTTCACTGAGCTATTATATCCCAACGACTGAATCTCCAATCTCCAGATACTTATATGTAATTGCGTAACACTAACCAGTAACCACGACTCGATCGAATACCGTTAGTCATGAAGGAGTCTTACAGGACAAAGGAAAAAATATTCCTCCGAATTGACGCCAAAAAATTATCAGAATTTTTTTTTGTAAAATAAAATAACGACGCAATAAACGGGCCCAAACCAACCGACTCACCTTTGATGTATTATTCTTTGATGAAAGCTTCTGGAAGGTTCGTTAAATACTGGAGCTGAAATCTCAATGCGATGTAATCGAGAGAGCGTATTATAATGTCTTTCAATTGTAACAGCCCGGAGAGTACACCGGCAACCGGTTTTCACAATGAAAGGGAGTAGCAGACAATAGGGGAGGTGGGAGATTCTGGCCGATTGGCCGATTCTGGCTTCAAGGTCCAACGGAAACGTTCATGGATGATTGGCTCATGGTGGTTTGGAGAAAGACATTCTGATAACATCGATCCGCTCTTCTTTACCCAGGCTCGATAATTAAACGTTATATTTTCCTTTAAAAAAACCCTCCGGTGGCTCTGAAATCGTTTTTGCTTGGTTTATGGTCCTTTTGAATGTAAAGACCGTTTGGACTTGTTTCCATTTTATTTGGAGAAAGGTCTTGAGAAAGTGAGGATATGTCGGGTTTTTGGGAAAGTTTACGAAAGAAAGGAAAAATTGTCGATGAGGGAATTAAACGACTGGATAAACAATGGGAGACACCTCATATTTTCATTAGTAAGTATGGAGAGCTCGTAGAAGAGGCGAGTAAGCACCTGGAGAATTTTTTGGAGTCGATTAAAGATATTCATGTGAGTAAATTATTCAAGACTTTTTTTAAAATCTATCTCATCACTTGTTTATAACCAATTAATTTAATATCATATGAGTTCTTCTCGTTGTTCTTCATATTAATTCCTTTGATGCCATTATCAATATGCCTACAGGATGAAATTATTGAAGACAATCAGCCAAGAGACAATTATATTACGGATGTATACAGATTCTCGGATGAATGTACAAATATTTATGAGGACTTGAGGCAACAAGCCTACGAAATCGAGGGCCTTCTAACTGAATTCGGATATGAGGGAGTTGGCCAACCAAATTTGTGAGTGCTTTCTTTATAGTAAAAAACAAATTGTGTTGTTTGTGTCTTTGAAATAATTCAATTCATTGAAATTTCTTTAGACCACAAGACACTGATGAAGACAGCAGTATCTTGAACCCGGAGATGATGGAAAGCCTCGAAATTACTGACAAATACTCCAAAGACGAGCAAGAAAATATTTCTCCCAACAAATCAAAAATAATTAACATGCCAAAATTTATTGCCACTCCTGTTATCAAGAGTCTTGCTTCCTTGAAGAGGGAAATATCAGATAAGACACCTCTCGCAGCATTTACCTCATCATCAAGCTATCCTCAGGAGCCTATCTATTCTCCCTATTATTACAAAGCATAACACTTTAATTATAATAACTGTACACATCTATATATATATATTATTTTTATGTAATTTTTTATCAACTAATCCAATTTTTTATAAAATAATGAAACAACTGTAAATAAAGCCAATCATTCTACGTTTTAAAAACAATTGCATTTTATTTATTTTAATTTTTTCTACATACAATGACCAATATGATAGTGTGGCACTGGTTCATATGCCATGGGTCCTATTCTTGAAAAAAAAACAAAAGTAAGCAATCTTCTGCTATAGAAGAAAAAATCTTTTTCACTAGTGAACAACTTGTGATGATGAGTGTTTTTAAAGATGAATCATTATCCTCGCTTTCTTATTTGTGGTTTTACATTTTATCTGAAATGGTCATATGACCTAACCTCTTTGGATGATGAATGTTTATGCCATCGGCCATGGGCAAGTACTGCAAATGCTCTTTTTTTCTCCACAAAAGGAATTATTGATAATAAAATGGCAATTATTGGAGGTGAGCAATTATGCCAGGGAAAAGACGTCTTTGAAAGGATGAATTATCTCTTCCAAGCTGGTCAGTTGCTATCCAAGAAGGATCATGTTGCTGCTTCATTGTGTGGAAATATCATGGTCAGCTGTGCAAAACGATCTGTTCTCAGAATGTAAATACAACAAATCTAAAATATAATCTCATTAAAAGTTCTATTCGTGACTATTTAATGAAATTTATAATTTTTTTCCCCTGGTTTAGGGAACCCGACGTCAAACGAAGCATCTGCAAAAGTTGTCAGATCCCTCTTATACCTGGTGAATCAGCCAAAGTAAGATTAATATCGAAACCAGTGAAGGCTGTAAAATGGACATGTCTCCTTTGCAAAACTACTAGAACAATTCCAACGAAACGAGGATATAAATTATGGATTAAACAATCACAATCCGTAATTAAAACTTTTGATTACACTTCAAAACCTATGGAAATTATCGACAAAGATGATGTGAAGAAAGTTGAAGAATCTATAGGATCAATTAAAGAGGAGGTAAACATTTGTGATGGAGCAACTTCTTCACACTAAAACTTGGTCATTTAAATACTGAGGTATTTCCAAATAAATGTACTTCAATTATTGCGTACGAATATTTTTATAATAATCGCTTACATAAAATATGTTACAGTATTACAATCAATATTGTAATCAATAAACAGATAATAATTTTTCCTAACTTTGAGTTATAATAATAGCAACCATACAATGTAGTAATAATATCTATAGGATGTTACAGATAACATGGATTGTTAGGGAAGTAATGTGTGTGTGTGTTTTGTCTTTCATGCTTTTCGTCTTGCGTTTTTTCCCTTTTTCTTAATGTGGAACCCATTGAAAACATCTACCCTAAATACGTGGGAGACTACATTTGCCCGGTGATTGCTATTCGCAGCAAAATCCACCATTTTTCATGAATTTTCATTCAACCTCACTATCTCTTTATTTGCTTTGATGAGTTTTGTAAAAATGGAAGAAGGACGGCTTGTTGAGCTCTTTTAAGTTGCACAAACCATTGCTGGCCAGTAAACAAGTATGCAATCGACGGATGGAATCGGGATTCGTTGCGAATCGACGTCACCGTTCAATTTACCTATTTTTTTTTCTTTTTCCATTACTTTTTCGATTCAACTATGATATGACTAAGTCCGCCCAAAGTCCCCTGGACTCAATCAATTAACAAAAACATTAATTATTGAATTCATTCATAAATTCATAATCAATGCCAATCAACTATCACCAAATCACAGATCCAAAATATCTTCACAATTTCAACATCAAGATAAATTAAATATTCTAAATTATGCATCAACACTCGATCAATCATGAAATATTCAACGCTGCTTGACTCATAAACTTTCACAATAATAATTACGAGTAATGGCTAATGACTTAACAATGAGTGGGATAACCCACAAAAATTGGCAGTATAAACGTACAAAATAAAAATGGATACGTTAGTAAAAAAATAAAACAAACAAAAACATTACTAATACAAGTTCTTAAGATGGTTAATTTGAAAAAAAAAAAGCAGACTTGGGCTGGACGGATCCATCTAAACATCCACTTATATACATAATATACCTGTCATGTCAAGCATCGGTCGCTCGACAAAAGAACCCTATCATTTTACCTTGGCAATTAATTTTCTTAAAATTAATGATATATCACCATACGAATTTTCTCGGTTCCATCAATAAATCAATTCATCAATTAGTATCCTACCACCCCAGGTTGGCAACGCACAAATATATACATGCACACACCAGCTACATTAATACATGATCATTTTCTCTAGTAAATCCTTTAACATGCCTAATACTTATTCATTGAATTATATTTGTTTTTATCATTAAAGTTGTTAATGAGACAGGGGATAAACGACATTACGTGACGATGATTATGACATTATGTGATGCATGATTCTGAGAAATAGATTAATCTTAAATAAAGTCCTATACTTTTTTAAAAACTCACACGTTAGACCAAACCATACGATCCAGTTATTGTCGAGGTCCTTGGATGTGAGTTTTCAATATTTGTTTATTATTCCTCTCAACGTTCCAGTGTTCACTGGACAATCAATTCATTCATTTTCATAAAAAAGACTATAAGAAAGAATGGTCGTGTCTGACAAATAGGCACATTTCACAGTTTACAATACATTGATTGTGAAAAAAAAAAAAAAAAAAAAAAAAAAAAA